TCTTCTCGCTCCCTCTGCACCAGCCACGCTGGCCACATTGACCCTGGTCATTTCCTTTGCCTGGAATAATCCCCACCCTCCACCCACCCAGCAACCTGCCAGGATTCTCCTTGGGTCTCCCTGCTTTGTATCAAATGCCACCTTCTCAACAACCCTCCTGGTTCATATTGCAGTGTACCCACCCTCACCCTGCCCTGTTCTTTTTTTTCCAATCACATTTAACATCTTCTGCACCCACATGAGAACACAGATACCAGGTCTCTGGGTTTTGTCCGTCCCTGTCCACTACACATTAGCTGCATGAGAGCAAGGCTCTCCTGTGCTCCCAGAGCCCAGAGCAATGTCTGGCATATAACAGATGCTCCATGATTATTGAATGAATAAATGAATGGATGAAGAGGGGAAAAATAATTCAAGAACCAGCAGCCCCAGAGCCAGAAGGGAGGCAGCTGGCTGAAACCCACAGGGGAATGGAGGTGGAGATGACAGTGTAGTCTACATCCGGGCATCAACATCCAGGTACCCTTCATCCACCTGCTAGATCATCAGGAGACAAACAATCACCAACCCTGAGAGCCCTGGGGGAGTGCTGAGGCCAGGCACACAGAGGAGTGCAGCAGCCCTCGAGGAAGAAGGGTCACCCGGCAGGACCCAGTGTCTCTGGACAGTTTATTTTACATGGGATGAATCTAAGCATCTCAAGTGTACACCCAGAACTGAAGGGGCGGGGGGCGGTGGAAATGAGATGGTATTGAACTTCCTGAAAAGGCTTTATAATAACGCAGGGCGATTATATATAGCAAACACGTTCGAAATTTAAACTTTAAATTTAAACATTTAATTCTTCAGCTTTAATACACACAAATGCGGTGGTGGGGGGGGGAGGGGCTGGAGAGGGGCGCGTTACAGCCTCCATCGGGATCAGAGTGTCAACAGTGTTACTTATAAATTATATTACATCAATTTTATTTACTGATCTAGGCAGCCAGAGGATGGAAGGATATACAATGGGAAGTAAACACATTCATACAGGGGTGGGGGTGGGGGTGGGTAAGGAATGCTGGCAGGAGACACAGCTTTTTAACATCAAAAAATGTATATAAAGTATTTAGCAAAAGTTACAGAAAACAGACCAAACAAGCAAGTTTATTTTGTTAGAAAATTCCGCTTTCGCAGGGTTTGCTGATGTGCTCGTGTCTGTGAAGGGCGTGCCTCCCGTCATCGCCTTCCTAAGGGAGGGGAAAGAGTTGCAAATTTGGGGACCATCTCCCAGGATGGCTGGAGACCCTTGGAATGTCCGTCTCTGGGCCCCCCGTGGCTGAGTGAGATCCGCTACTCCAGAGCGCCCCTCTGCAGAGGGAGCGGCAGGGACAGAAGCGCCCCACTGACAAATGAGTACACAGAGGTCCAGATGGGGGGTGTGAATAGGCTTCAGGATAAAGGAGGTGGCAGGGCAGGGCTAGCCCTGACTCTTCCTCTAGTACTGTAGGCTTTCGTTCTCTGTCCCCGTGTCATACTGTCCCCATGAGAGAGCCTATTGGTCCTGACCATTTACCTTCTACCAATGCAATCCACTAGAAATCCCCCTGAAAAACATACAGGAATTGTATGTTTTATCATGTACGAATGTCCCCAAGCACCACCAAGGGAGTCCAAAGGTCTTCACCCCCACCCCAAGACACTTGTCTGATCCAGGTCCTCCAGAGCCATGCCCAGCCTCCATTGGTCTTTGTCCTCTCCTAGACCCACCTTGACCTGCAGCACCAGGAGTGGGCCCCTCACCTTCAGGAAAGCCACAGCTCCTGGGCGGAAGGTATGGAGAGTCCTTCCAGGCAGAACCCAACCCTGGAGGGTCTCAGCAGCCTTGGCTCCCACTTTGGGACCCTGAGTTCTGGCTTCTCAGCCCTGACCTTCGTCTGGCCTGAATCCAACACTGTCCCCAATTCAGATGGAGAGGTTCCCAGTTGCCCTCTAGGGCTCACCTTTCACTGAGCAGCCCATGACCAAGGCTTTGCTTAGAGGTGTGGTCACCAACCGCCTGGCCATGGCCACGCCTGGTCCTATCTCTGCCACCGCCTATCGGGACAAAGGCACAGGGCAGGCTCAATATGACCACCAGCTGGGAAAGACGTCAGCAACAGCAAGGACTTGACAGAGGTGGCTCTGTCTTCCATGCCTGTCTTGGCTCCTAGGGACAGACCCTGAAGGTAGCCACTTAATACTTTCTCTGGGGGGTGCAGGTTAGTCCTAGGAGGAACCACTCTGTTCTTAGCTCATGAAACTCTTCGCTGCACTGGAGTCTAAATGGGGAAGTGTCCCCTTGTGAGGAGTTTAGGCAGCTCTCTGCACAACTGTGCAGGTGACATTGGGATTCGGCATGATCATGTTTACAGGGCATGGAACAAGAAACAAGAAGGGAAGGGGAGGGTACACAGTAGCTGGAGGCTGAGAGATCATCGAAAACAAGTACGCTCACTGGCAGGTGGGGCAACAGATCCAGGGAAAGGTCCTGATGTGCCCTGGGGCCAGTCCTGGCCTTTCAGCTCTGTTCTTTCCACTTGCCTCTGGAGGCCTCAATGTTCAATAAATGCAGGAACCCATGGAACTGAAGCTAGGGTACCAAGAGGGAGCACATCTTTCATCTGAGATGCAGCAGAGGTGGGAGGCGATTCTGACTGACCCTGCCTGCCACTTCCCCTCCAATTCCTGGCTGCTTCCTGCACTGGTAGAAATCAAATATCACTGGTAGAACCAGAAAGGTCAGTGAGTGGGTAACTCATGGGTGGAGCCGACATTGGAGGAGACTTGGGAGCCCTGGGAAGCAGTGATCCAAACAAGGTGAAGCTCTTGGACCACGAACTTCCAGGGTAAATGACTCACTTTATGAACAAGGAAGCAGTGTGGGATACCTGGGTAGGGGAAACCACTCGGCAAAGAAAAGGGACACGCTCCTGAGACACACGCACACATGGGCGATTCCAAACCTACGTCCATGTGATCCTACTTCCTTTCAGAAAACGGCAAAATAATAGGGTCTGAACATCCATCAGGGTTTGTTGGATCAGGGGTGGGAGGAAGGAGTGGACCCCAATGGGATATGCAGTACTTTCAGGAGTGATGCTAATGTTATGTTGATTGCGGGCGCTGGGTACAAGACTGTTATTTGGTCAAAAAATTCTCAGAACTGTATACTTTAAAGAAAAAAAGTGAATTTTGCTCTGTCAATTATAGCTCAATTTTCCTGGAAACAGGAGGTGGCACCGAGCTTTGGTGGAGGTGGGAAGGACTATGGGCATTCAGTGGTAGCAGGCTCAGCCAGTTGTCCGCTGATCTGGTCCCCACTGGACATGGGAAGTGCTGTCCCCTACCTACGTAATAACAAGCAGGTCTTTCGATTCCTGTGCCAAATTCTCCTTGCCAAGGCTACTTCACAGCTGGAAATAAAATCACCTAAAGAAGTGAAGGTGTGAAGGTCTTTGACAACCTTTGAATTTTATGGCTTATATTTCCAAGAAGGGACTTTGGCTCAGCCAAGATCTTTATGCACCCGTCCACTGATCTAGTAATTTGACTGTTTTTTTCCCCCCCAAAGGGAATAAAAACAAAATCCTGGCCATGAATTTGTACAGGGTCTGTCTGCCTCAGTCATTAATCAGCCCTGACAAGTGACACTGAGAGGAGGCACAGGGTAGTTCCATTGACAGAGCCTGGGGCCACCCTCCACCTGGTCCAAATAGCCTGTGCATTGCAGAACTACTCAAAAGCACTAGGGAAAAAAAAAATGAAGGGGAACAAGTGGCTCTTCCTGGAGGTTGTCATGGCAACGGATTCACTTTGAATACCTATTCATTTTAGAAATATATTTTTTTCTTTTAAATCAGGATTTCAGAGCAAACTTAAGTGCCTCAATCCCCCAGTGGTGGCGGGGCGGGGACGGGACTGATCTGTTCTCAGAAACCCACTCCGAATAAAGCAGCCAAATCCTCCCACGACCTTAAGTACCGAGACTTATGTCCAAGTAAGACCACAGGGACGGGGATGTGGCTCAATGGCAGAGTGCTCACCCAGCACGTGGGAGGCCCTGGGTGCTGATCCCCCCACCACAAAACAAAGACAACCCAGATGGTGTGCTTGTGACTCCAAATGCACTTTTAGATTTTCTAGACTTCATCCTGATCCTGATTTTACTCGCAGTGCAGGGGGAGGGGTCCCTTTTTAATTGGGACATTGGGCCTGGACTCAGCTCCAGCCCTGTTCGTAATTCTGTGTCAGGTCATGGTGTCCCTGGCCTTCACTTTCTCTATTTGCAGAGCAACGAGTCACTAAAAACCAATAAAACAAATGGGCTATGAGGGTCTGGCGACTAGGTGATCAAGATCGTGTTGCTGTCCACCCAAGTGCCATGTTCTTCCTCTCCAGATAGGTCTAAACATCTGCCTGTCTACACAGAGAAGTGATAGTGTCCACCCTTCCACACAATTTGTTTCATTCCTCGGCACAATGTTGGGCTTGTTCTAAGCATTTGCTAAAAAAACCGAGTGAATGTCAGCCCAACCAAGACAGTACCTCTGAAACAGAGGTACTGTTTCAGAGTACTTCTATGTGAATGTCAAGGTTACTGAAGGCCAGGCCCCTAGGGAAAAGATAAACCTATATAAAACAGATTCAAGGGCTTCCCTGATGACTGAGCAGCATTTTGTCTTCAGATCTCCGCACATTGCTTGGCTTTTACTAAATGTTTGATGAATGAACATCCGAGGGCACAAGAGGTGTATGTGAAGAGGCTTAAGAGGAGGTGGCCAGGGGACAAGGGGAAAGGATGACCTCAGAAAATGGACTGGCCCAGGCTTGGCCAACTCGAGTTACCCTGAAGGAGCAGAGAGCTCATTCCACGTCAGGAACAAACAGAGGACTTGGGGACCCTCAAATGAGAGAATAAGAGGACAAAGCCCAGGAGCCACATTGCACCCAAAAGATCTGTTAATTATCAGGCTGTTGGCTTTGATGTTTGAAAATCATCTATAGTTTACTAAGCCACAAAGCAATTACCACTAGCACCCATTTTTTAGAGTGAGAAGCCAAGAAATATCCTAAAATTGGTAGCTGGTGTCATGGTTCAAGCCCGGATGCAAAAGGAGTGGTTTTCCATCCTATGCTGGACAGATCCCACCCCCTCCATGCTTGTGAACACCTTCACGTTGGCTTTTGTGCTTGGGATGTTTTAGTAAAAAAAAAAAAAAAAAAAGTGACAAGATCTGGTTTGCTTTAGTATATTGAACATCTTTCTAAAATAAACTATGAGAAAGCCATTCTAATTCAATGGAAGAGATGCTGAAAGATTCAAGATTAACATCCATTATTAGCAGTGTAAAATGGAGGGAAAGATCCGTGAATTGGGCTCATAGAATTCTGCCCCTATGGGAGATGGAAGGGTCAAGCCGAAAGCCATCAAGGGAAAAGATGAAGAAAGGTGGCCTCTCAGAGCAGGGGTTTCTGGCTAGAAGCTGTTCCTTGCTCACTGGGTCAATATTTTCTCCCAGCCCCCTCAGGCTGATTCTCTAGGCTAGGATGGGGGAGAGATGGTGTTTGCTGTAGTCGAGAAAGAAAGTGGCGGGCTGAACCCAGGGGTAGTGCTGAAAAGCTTCCCAAGTCACGCTTGGCTCAGGCTTCTCCAGGGAAGATGGACAGAGGGAAAGGAGGTGCTGGCGGGCTCTGGAAAGTTCGGAGGAGCTGGAGGTCCAGGTGGCAGGACACACCTGGATAGCAAGGAGAGAGAGTCTGCAATGCTCATACAGCAGTCCAAACCCTATCTTGCCTAAGCAGATGGAGTCTTGACAAAGACTTGCCCTAACCTGTCTCCCATGTGGGACTGACCTAGCCCTATTAAGCCCTTGGTGGGCAGACTGGGAGAGTGGGGGTCAGGGTAGCCCCGTGTTGGACAGGACACGATGGGAGACAGACCCCATGTGGTTTCTGGCTCATCTCCATCTCTCAAAGCTTTTGGACATGCACACAGCTGAAGGAGGTCTCCCTGGCAGAGAACTTTGGGCAGGGGTGGCAGGGTGGGGGTGGGGACTGCCTTGAGAAAGCAGCTGAGGAATGGAGGGATGGGGATTTCCAGAGACTTCAGAGCCGATGCCTGATCTGATGGGAACCGTGATTCAATGCTCCGACTTGGGGCTAATTTGCCAAATGAGGTAGTTCCATCCTGACCTCTCTGGGCAGGGTTGGTCAGGGAAGACAGAAAACAGGCCTTCCCAAGACCCACGGGGATGAAAAGTGGCCAAGAAAAGCCAGATTTGGGCTCCCAGAATGCAATGAGAAAAATAGAGAGGGCCGTAAAGGAGTCTAGGTGCAGGCTGAGCTGACGGCGCCTTCTATCCATGATTCTGATCCTGACATTGGCTTGGAGGCAGAGACAGCCCTTCCCTGATCTTCCAAAGCCCCGGAGATAAAGGGACCAGGTGAAGGATGGGCTTTGGGGCATCCAAGGGCAAAAGTATGTGATGGCCACCCCTATGGAACTCAGCAGGGACCACAAAGTTCCAGCCTCAGTTTGTTCTCAGAGCAACAAGCATGGCACGGGGTTTGGGGGGGGGGCTTCAGTCTTGGAGACAAGGGCGGGGTCTGTCTTCTTGGCCTGGGAATATCTGGGATTCCCCAGCTGAGCCACCCAGATCACCCTTCTGGAATTGCCAGCTCTCTCCTCTCTCCTCAGTGGACAGGAGAGTGGGTGGGAGGGCAGCTTCACCCAGCGGGAGCCACCACCCCCTCTCCACGGGACCCCCAGCCCCTCTCCTGGGTCAGGACCCCCGGGGCCGCACAGGCGTGTCTAGATCTCCATGTCCACGGGGCGAATGTTGCCCGTTTTGTGCTCTCTGACCCACAGCTCTCTGTCTTTGGCCGGGTCCACTTTTCGAAGCAGTTGGTCCACAGGCTCGACTGTCTGCAAGGGACAGAGAAAGAGGGGACACTGTCAAAGGTGAGGGCCAAGCTGGGGATGTTTCCTCTGCACCCTGCTGCTCTTGCCCAAGCTCTGTTCAGAGCAGTGTCTTTAGAACGCTCTAGGGCCCCACGGGAAACCTATCTGAGGGTCACAGTGTGCAGAGGGTTATGAGAGCCAGCGCCTGGAACCGGTCCTGACCATGTATCCTGCAGAGCCCAGGCCTGGCTGAGAGGGCAGCACGCCTTGGAGGCTCAGTAGCCTGTGACCTTTTCCTCCACGCGTCTCCATACCCACCACCAGAGAATAGAACAAATGCAACTTTGGCATTAGGTACTTTATTTCTAGAAGTTGTATTTTCGTCTCATTTTGGTTAAGAAATTTGCCCAGGGAGGCAATGATATCTTTAGCTATTTTAAATACGGTGAGCTTCTCTCTCTTCGGGTAAACAGCTCACCTGTGCATACTTCATGTGCACAGGATGGATCATCACATGGACATCCAGGAATCCTGATAAATCTACCCCAAGACGTGACTCAGAAGCAGGGACAGCTGCCCACTGTCTGCTTCAGAAATGATTCATTTGCAGCAGCCACTTAACCTGCCGTGGCTGTCCCCCTGACCCCCAGGGGTCTCGTCAGTCTCTGCCCCAGGGTGGGGAACTCACGCTTTGGTTGAACATGTCTGTCTCATGCCGCAGCTGTGTGTACTGACACAGGTGTTGCCGGATCATCTCCACCCTCTCCACCTCCAGCCGCTCCAGCTCCTGCAGAGGAAAACAAGACCAGAGACCTCTGAGAATATCCCCTAACTTTGGGACCTTCCCACCAAGCAGGTTCCAAGGCACCATGTACCCCAATGCACGAGTCACTGGCTGCTGAACCCCAACGCCACTTGACTTTCTGGGCTCCAATAAGGAGGGTGCCCATCTCTAGGGTGAAGGTGAAGGTTATGAGAGCAGCTACTAGCTTACCCTAAAAAGCAAGGTTCAAAAAGCTTTCCATGCCGTATGTAATTGTTCTCGATACAATTTTAAAATTCTGCGAGATTTCTGAGCAAGGGAACTGACACCTAGAGAGGGAATACCGCATGCCCCAGGAGATACAGAACCATGGGAAGAGCAGGATTTAAACCGTGTTCTCCCGATTCTACAAGCCCAGCCCCAGCCCTAGCACCCTGATGGGGCAGAACAGGGACCAGAGGCAGGGGCAGGAGTGGAGCAGCCATCATCAAAGGAAGAGTGGAAAAGGCCTGTCCTTCAGTGTCTAGATGATTCTGTGTCTCTGGAATTTAGGGGATCAGACTGTTACTCTATATGTAACTAGGTCACGGTCCAGGTGATTAATCGGGAAGGGGGATAAAGCAGGGGACTTAATTAGGAGATTAACAAGGGGGTAAAACAGGTCACTGGTAGAGAGGCCTTTAATCTGCCCTGGTGGGCTGACACCTGGGGAAGCCAGCCGGTCAGGGCTGTAGGAGGGACGGCAGGTGGCTTTGGGCAGTAGGATGAAGGGATGAGTAGCTGCTATGATGTCTCTTCTCCCCTCTGGCCAAAGTACCAGCCACACTTCACTGTTTCACTCCAGCAGCTCCTGACCAACACGGAGATGCTGCCCCTTTATAAGAAATACTCAGGGGCTGAGTCTGTGCTCAGAGGCAGAGTGCTCGCCTAGCACGTGTGAGGTACTGGGTTCGATCCTCAGCGCCGCCTTGGTCAGAGTACCCCCTTCTCCCTGCATGGCTCCTCCTACCACACCCGTTCACATGCCTTCTAAGGATCTCCAGTGAGTGGGTGGGATGGGAGTGGGGGAGTTGTCTCTCTCTACTAACAGGGCCACTCTCTGCTCAATTAGGGAGGTTTCTGGTTGATCCTAAGCCCTCAGTAGACAGCCCAAGGAGGTGACAGCAACACCCAGCCTTTGGCTGATTTCATACAACAGGAGACACTAGGGATCTGAATGCACAGACAAGTCCAGATTGAGTTCTGATTCCCAACCCTGGAATAGTGACCACTTTATGGTCACTTCCACTCCGTGCCCACCCTGTGTCTCCCACCACCCACCCAGGGCTCCCTGAGAGCCAGTCCCTGTCACTGGCATGCTCAAGTGTCTCTGATCACATACCAAAGTGGTGGTCACCATCTCTTCAAACCACTTGGACTGCGCCTGGTTGTAGAGGTCCACACAACGCATGAGGTCATCACCTGGAAGAGCCAGTGGCCTCTGTCATGCTCTGTCACACACTATCCCACACACAAACCCACCGCAATGCACTGCCTTCCCCGTGTAGTTCAATGGCAGAGCGCTTGCCTACTATGTCTAAGGCCCTGGGTTTGATCCCCAACACCACAAAACACAAACCAAACCAAAAAACCAAAAACACCAAAACATGCATCACAGTGCTACACACAAACTTCAGAAGAGTAGCCACCTGGGGAGATAGGATGAGCAGTAGGGAATGAGCTCCTTCTGTAGCATTTTCTTTCATAACAGAGAGATCTGAACAAATATAACTATTAAATCTTGATGGCTAGTGTATCACTTTCTCTAACCATATGCATGTTTAAAACATTTTATATTTAGAATAAGAGCAACCTATGAAGTAATTGCAAACATTACTCAGTGTACTAGCACCCTGGCACCTTGCTATGTAAACAAAGTTCACGGACCAGCAGTATCCGTAACCTTCTCCCCGGGGAGCTGGCGGGAAATGCAGAATCCCAGGAGGTGTCCAAGATCAATGGGGCCAGAAATCGCATTTTCAGCAGACCCTACGGTGATGCTTGCACAAATTATAGTTGCAGGAGCAAGTGCTCTGGCACACATCTGCATTTCATCTGATGGAAATGCAATGTAGTTGCAATCAGTTTCCTAATATGCAGTTTCCTAATCATTGCAGGACTGGAAATTGGACCCTTCTGAATAATGCCAGTGGAGAACATGGATTCTGGAATCAGAATGCCTGTGATGTCAGCCTAGCTTCACTATGGGTTAGCTGTGTGACCTTGGACATGTCAACTAGCCTGCCTGTGCCCCAGCAGAAATGAAGATGAAGACATCTATAAAATGGGTATCAGTTGTACCTTCATTAACTATGCCAATACATGCAAAGTATTAACTATGCAAATACATGCTTTGAGAATAGAGATTCGCAAAGATAGCAAAGTATTAACGTCAGCTATGGTGGCCACGATGGTGATAAAGAATTCAAATTTAGCCCCCAGGAGGATCTGGATGCCCTCCCTCAAGCAGCCTTGCAAAACATGAGGGAGAGGAGGAAAGGGAAAAGGAGCAAAAAAGGTGTGGCAGCAATTTCTGAGTAGCAGGCTGTCTGGCAAAATGGCAAGGAGCAAAGAGCCTTTGGAATAAGAGAAGACTGAATTCTGATGTTGCAATGCCACCTCGGTCACCTAGCTCATCCTTGCTCCCATTGGTTTTCTCATTCACAAAATACCTCCTTACAGAGACTGTGACATCACCTTCCAGAACGTAGCCTGAGGCCAGACACAGTAACTATTCAATAAAGGTAGTTCTCTCTCTCTCTCTGCAGTGCTGGGGATCCTACACAGGGCACATGCCCTTTATCACTGTGCTACCTCGTTCCCACCCCCAGAATAATTTCAAGCTACAGAAATAAGATTCTGTATCATCTGATGGAAATGGGTAACAAAGAAATAAAGGATAGGTAAATCAAGATGTTTGCAATAAGGGTAACAAAGACCTTGCTCTTGAAAAATGTAAAGATTTTCTTTGAGACAACTGTTGGCTCAAAGATGAAATTAACCCCTCAATAGTGAAATAACTTGAGAAGAGCAGAAATGAAGACACAAATTAGACGCTGTGGGGTGTGGTTAGGGACCTGGGCAGAGAAAAAAAGAAATGTCTGGTGGGTTGAATATTTCACTGTTAAAAATAAAATAAAAAATAAATACCTCAACACTCTCTCCCCACATAAGAACAAGAAAACTTGGGTGATTAAAATAGAATCTTGGGAAGGTTGAAGGTGATTCCCCACCCCCACCCCCCAATCTAAATGCCACAGGGAAAAGATGTTATATACAAAAATAGCAACAAAAAACCAGAAAAACAAAATTTTAAAAAAAAGAAAAAAAAAAAAAAAAAAAAAAAAAAAAGAAAAGAAAGAAAGAAAAAATAAAAATAGAATCCAGGGCAAATATTTGTGATTCAAAGGGTTAATCTCTATAGAGAATTCTTATCAGTAGTAAGAACAAGACCTCAAAAAGAAAGGAGGAGACAAGTTAATTAGTTCACAGAAAAGTAAGTCAGAAATAATTTGTATTTTTAAATGTTCTGATCAGAGAAAAGCAAAATAAGCAAAACATTTTTCAGCGGCACACCAATGATTTCAAAGCATACAATACTCAAAGGTTTAGGGAATAGGTACTCAGAGATACTATAGGTGAGTACCTTCTCTGGTCAGCAATTTGGAAATATTCATTGAAATGAAGAAAAACCTTCAACCCAACATCAAAATTCTCTCTATATGCAGATCTGGTCTTACACATAAACAAATTTACAGTTCTGATAAGCATTGCTGGCTTGGTAAACACTCTGAAACAATCTAAAAGTCCTAAAAAAATCAATTAGGGCCCTCTCCTGGGTCTATACCCAAAGGACTTAAAAACAGCATACTACAGAGTCACAGCCACATCCATGTTTATAGCATCACAATTCACAACAGCTAAACTGTGGAACCAACCTAGATGCCCTTCAATAGATGAATGCATATAAAGAATGTGGCATATATACACAATGGACTATTACTCAGCAATAAAAGAGAATAAAATCATGGCATTTGCAGGTAGATGGATGGCATTGGAGAAGATAATGCTAAGTGAAGTTAGCCAATCCGCCTCCCCCCCCCCCACAAAATGCTGAATGTTTCTCTGATATAAGAGGGGTGACTCATAGTGGGGTAGGGAGGGGGAGCATGGGAGGAATAGACAAACTCTAGATAGGGCAGAGGGGTGGGAGGGGAAAGTAGGGGCTAGGGGGTTAGAAATGATGGTGGAATGTGATGAACATACATTATCCAAAGTACATGTATGAAGACACGAGTTGGAGTGAATACACTTTATATACAACCAGAGATATGAAAAAATGTGCTCTGTATGTGTAATATGAATTGTAATGCATTCTGCTGTCATATATATATATATATATATAATAAATAAACAAATAAAAAAAATCAATTAGGGGAATGATGAAATCAATTTGGATACAATGATATAGTCAGACATTGGGCAATTGTTTAAAAATCTGAAATGCATAGATGGATGCATAAATAGATTTAGAGGAAATGAAATGGGCTACTTCTAAGATGTATTAACTTCAGTTCAGAATACAGAGTATAATACAATCCAATTTATATACAGTTGAATATTTAAAAAGTGAAAGCACTCTGAAGTATTGATGGTGGTTATTTTTGGCAACTAACATTTCTATACTCTCATATGCTGATTATTTTTAATTTTATTTAATTTATTTAATTTTATTTTTAATAAATTAAACTAATTTATGTACAACTTTTTCCTCTCTGGGCTCCATTCCCAATAAATATATTAGAAATTTATAATAATGCTTCTGATTCTAGTAATTTACTGTGATGCATTATAAGAATCTGTATATTAAATATTATGTTTATGCCACATTAGTTTTGGCTCCAGTTATTTCTGCCCTACTTTATTACAAAATGTCCGGAAGGTGGTTGCTTCATTTCATAATGAAATCAATTGTAACAGCTTCACCAGAAATTGAGATGAAAGGGACCTAAAGATCATGCAGGCCATAATTTCACAGCACACAGATTAATTCCAGAGGCAATATGCATTGCCCTTGCCTGTTATGAAACTTGATTTCTTTTAGAAACAGCTATTGAGTTTTTAAACATTTTTCTAATCATCCTTTCCCTTCCTCCTTGTGTACTGGCTAACCTTGACCACTAGGTGGCAGCAGACACCAGCACACTGGGGGAAGGGGTAGAGCCTGAAATCTGGTGGTTATTTAAACAAAATGCAAGCAGGGGCCACTGCTATACCTCAGCCCTCAGAGTAGCACTCCCTGGGGAGAAGGTGCAGCTTATATGGGTGAATAAAGATCTGAACTTCTGTGGGCTTTAATCAGGGACTGGGCCCTGAGCTCTTGGCACAAGGAAGAATTTATCTACTTCCTGGTCAGAAATGCAGACCTTAGGTCAGAAAAAGGCATTGCTGGGGAGGCCATGAGTCCTCCAGCCCCCCCACCCCCCCCCCATGGCTTGGGAACAGCCTGGCCTGCTTCCCTCCAATCCCTGGATGCTGGGTAGAGGTGCTGGGTATGCCCCCTCCTGTGTGCTAGTTAGTGTGACCAGCCCGGGTGGGCCGCCCAGGGGCTCACCAGCCTGTGTGGACTTTCTCCGTGCCTTCTTGATGTCCTCCTCTGTCTTGTTGCTCAGCTTGATCTCCAGCTGCTGGGTCTTCATCTCCAGGTCTCTCTGCCGCTCAGTGAGGGCTTTCCGGGCCTGGGGTCCAATGACATCAAACAGAGAAGCTGTTATGAAGCTTGCAGCCTGGGGGTGGTGGGGCTCAGAGCCATGTGGCCCAGCGACCTCTTTCTCAGCTCAAGTCCTTCATTTTCTGTTTGCATGGATGATGCTACAGTGGCCCCACAGGACCAGACAGTCCCAGTGCTGCTACCCAGCTAACTGGCGGCGGCGGAGCCCACAGACCAGCTCCCCTCATTCCTGCTGGTGGCACCAGGCATGGCATTCCAGAGCCTTGAGCCCCCTGTGCCCCTCATAGCACCTGCCCACCCTCCTCCTGGTTCCATGTGGTGGCTCACTCTCTGCCTGTCAGTGGAGACAGCTGGCTGGGTGTTGGGTGCCTGCTCTCTAGGGCCTGGGCTTAGTCCAGGGCTGCCACCAGCAGTCCTGCCCAAGATGTGACTAACTATAGAAAGATGAGCTATGGGGCCTCTGGAAACAGATGATCAACCAGGAGAAAATCTGCAGGAGGGTCCCAGACACGGGGACCACACATAGCAGCACATCAGGCTTGGTGTCCCATTAACCCTTGGAGCAGTCATCTGAGGTCCACAGGGAAGTGTCTCCTGCCTGCCCTCTGGATGGGTGGGGTTCGCGGGTGGGCCATGAGGCTCGGATTCCCCTCCCCCCTCATCTGGGGACAAGGGCTCCTGTTGTGGCACCCAGAGTCACAGCTGGTTTCCTGGCCCACCCTGTTCTAGCAGCCCCTGCCTTCCCCTGACTCCCACCCCAGCGTCCTGGCTTCTCACCTTCTCCACCGACGCGTAGCGGCTGGCGAGCTGCTTGCGGAGGTCAGCGATATGGTGGTCACACTTTTTCATGTCTTTCTTGAAGTTCTCACGAAAGTTCATTAAGGGCTTCTCTACCTCGCTGTGAAGCTGTGGAGGAGGGTGGAGAGGACACTCAGGACCCAGGGCATTAGCTGCAGTTGGTGGGGACCGTTCTTCCTCTTTCCCCAGCAGGTGATGAGTGGGGCTGGGGCAACAGCCTGGGGGGACTGGAAGGCTAGAGGTGAGTGGCGGTTCACCAGGTGCAGCAAGTGTAGCTCTGAGTGGGTGACAGGAAACTTCAGATTCTCCCACTAACTAACTACTTCCTCCTCCAAGTTTTCACATCTTTACTTTTTAGAAAACTTTTCATTCCAAGTTATTTTTTTTACTGTGTATACTGATCATGCACAACAGGTTTTGAAATATGTCATAGGTATGTAAGTGGTGTGTCACTTAAGGACGGGGACAGACTCTGAGATGCATTGTTAGATTCTGTTGTTCCTTCACCATCACACAGTACACTTACACTAAGACGGCTATGACATCACAGTAACAACCTCTGGGACACCACCATTACAGACAGAAACTTCCCGACTCTAAGTATACACGGTGACGTAGCTTAGTTAATTCCCACGTGCACCGTGTCCCACGCTTGCTTGTGTGCCACAGCCTCTGGTACAGCTTTGCTTGGGTGTCCCTTTCCAAACTGGGAGCTTTCTGGGGACAGAAACCATGTCATCCATTTGTGTCCCCCAAAACTTAGCACAGTGACTGCTAGGCAGCTCAATAAATAACTGTGAGGGGTGCCGTTCAATTATTCATCTTAGATCTTTTCTATTCATCGAACACCTGCTAGGTGCCGTGTGCCTGGAATATAAAGGTGATCTGGACGTGGTCCAAACCTCGAGGAATTCACAACGGGAGCTGCTGAAGGTCTGCTGGTGATTCACAGGGGTGACTGTCCTAACTGTATCCACAGGGTTTTGTTCTCAATTCACAGGGCTGGAAGGGGACCACCCCTCCTATTCCTAAGAAAGGGAACCACTTTCTGCTTTGTGATGACTTAGGTAGCATCAAGTTTTTAAGCTTTTTTTCCTTCCTTCTTTCACATTACACCCCATCCTTTTTGAGAATATCTTCAGAGCGTTTGACTTAAGTTTGGTTGCAAGCATGAAATTTATGAGAAAACAGATCGATCGAGGTAGCCCTGCCCTGGTAGAGCCAGGGACAGCCTAGGTGGTGAGCAGACAGTCTTGCTGTTGGATGACCTTCCAAGACTAACAGAGAGCCAGCCACCCAGGTGCCATGTGCCTCCTGATACCGATTGTGTCTCCTATTATTTATTCTTTTGAGCCCCTGAAACTTTCCTCATCCAGGAGAACATCACCACCTGGTGGCAATTTTATTAGGAGGCTACAAACTTGAGAACCCATGAGAAGAAACGAATCTCTTCCCCTAGTGCCCTGGTTTAAAAGTGTTCCCCAAATTCCAGATGATGGAAACTTAATCCTCCAATTCACAAGATGGTATCTGGAGGGGGCTTCTGGGAGGTACTTAGGAATACATGAGGTCATGAGTGAGATCGTCAGGATGGCCCTGGTGGCTTTATAAGGACAGATCTGAAAGGACATGTGCTTGCTCTGTCTTGCTGTGGGATGATGCCCTCTACTGTTACAACACAGCAGGAAAGCCCTCTGGATCTTGGGCTTCTCAGCCTCCAGAACTTTGATCGAAATAAACCTCTGTTCTTCATAATGTACTCAGTCTCTGGTATTTAGTTATAGACAAAGAAAACAGACGGAGACAATCACATATACAGATCAGGCATTTGCTGAGTAGGAGATGGTCCATAACTCAGTTGCCATGGAACCAGCTGACTGGGGTCTCTGAGGGTAGACTCAAAAACTCTGGGGTGTCTTTCTGAGGACTTGGAAAAACAAGTGACTGCAAGACTTTCCTGTGCCTGGGAGTGACCTGAAGGAGCTCCTTAACATTGAAGACTCACGGGTCCAGCCCCAGGTTGTGTGGTCTGGGGAAGGGCATCCAAGTCTTTCCCCAAACTCCAAACAACAAACAGGAAATAAAGCTACTAGTTGTCTGAAGTGATTCAACTGTGCAAGTGAGGACCCATGGATTCTCCAACTCTCTATCTATACTAAGTTCTTTTTATTTTTTTAATATTTATTTTTCAGTTCTCGGCCGACACAACATCTTTGTTTGTATGTGGTGCTGAGGATCGAACCCGGGCCAGGCGAGCGCGCTACAGCTTGAGACACATCCCCAGCCCCCTAAGTTCTTTTTAAAGACATAATTTATTTTCTTTAAACAAGATGGCTTGGTATCTTTTAATACTCATATTTAGCTTTTCCTGAAAGTTCCTGGGTTGGCCTCTCCTCTATGGGATGGGCTAGGCCACCGGAGGAGATTCCTCCCCTCTCCAAAGCTCGGCTGACTTTGATACTTCTTTTCACCTCGTACAATTGAAGAGAATAGGTAGAAGGGTTTAATAGTCCTGGGAAACATTCATCTTGGCCACATGCATGTGTGGCTATCTGAATGGACATGGGAGTGGGTACCTGCATGTGGACCTGTGCGTACCCAGTAACCAGGTGAAGGGCATTCCTGGGGGTCACAGTGGCTGATCTGACTCAAATTCTTCGTTTTGCACAGGAAGAAAAGAAATCCCAGGGATGCTGAGTGACTTGACCGACGTCACAAAGCTTGTTAGGGACAGCTCTGAGCTAAAACTCATTATCCTGCTTCCCTTGTCCCCAGAAATCTGCTGCCGAATGCAAGGCTTCTCCTGCATGATTAGATTTTCTCCCATCAAAAGGAATTTCTCTTTTCTCCCTTTTTCTACAGGAGCCAGTGGCAATACCGATTCTTTAGCGACCTGTTGCTATTAGCAATGGTCTGAGGTGGTTGACAGAGAAGCCGGAAAGATTGCTCTGACAAAATTGCATTTTTTAAAGAGCTTTTACCCCCGACACAGACCATTCAGAGCAAAATTTCCAGGCGCCTTTTAGAGCAGACGTGAAAATGGGTTTTACGCATAGGAAGCCACATTATCCGTGGCAGACACACAAATCCTTGGAGCCTCTTTCTCAAGAAATTGCTGCGAGACCACTAGGAGGCTACTTTGATGCTCCAAGGCCACCAACACGGAATGGATGGACGGGCTAGAAGTAGCAGAAGCTCTCGTGGCAAAGTCTGTTTTGTGCGGAACATTCGTCATATTGCTGTGGTCAGCTGGATGGTGACATTTGTGTTGCTTCATGAAAACCAACTTAAAATGTTCTGAGCGTTTGGAGGGATGGTTCGCACCTCGTTGCTGGCACTCCTGGGGGAGGATAGAGGGCTCCTTGAGGAACCCAGGGCCTTCCCCAGCTGCTGGACATAAGCTCTGCCACGGAGCCACACTCCAGCCCCAAGGTCTTGTTTAAAAGCCACTCCCCTACTGAAGAGAGAGCGTGTCTCAAAGCAAAAATGGGGATTTAGTTTCCCATTTGCTCCCACGTTAGTAGTTAGATCCACTTGGAGGCGTGACCATGGGCTGAGTCCTGTCTGCTCTGCTCAGTTGTGAGGTGGTGAGGCTCTTTTGCATGGTAGTTGATAAGACGGAGAGGGATGGATTATATCCAGTACCCTGGGGATCCAGCAGACAAACTGAAGCTCCCAGTCATGCACAGCCCTGGCTCCTGGCCCCACCCCCAAGCCAGGAGAGTGGCAGCCCCAATCCCCACCCCAGCATTCATCTCACCAGTCAGTGGAGGTCAGGGGCCAAGACAGGAGAAAGGAGACCTTGGGGGTCGGAGCTGCCGCTTAAAAAACTCACTGTTTTGTATACAGCACACCAAAGACACCAACCCATGGAGCTCCCTTCTCTGCCACAGCTTGGAGCAATCTTCCCAGGAAGTGCTTGACCTAACCTGAGCTCTGCTTTCATTAGCTGGGAACTTGCACGCCTCGCTAGGTGTCGGCTCAATCCTGGGGCGCTCACGCCTTTTAGAAGCAACATGCTGCCAACCCAGCCCAGCTTTCCTACAAAGCTCTTATGGTCTTAGTCCTTAGAGTCATTCATTCTGTGTGCAGAGGACCATGATGGGTTACAGCGGGGAGACCTGGGCATACGGACATATTCCTGTGCTCCAAGAGTACACGTCATTCAGTCCCCAGGGCGGAAAATTGCAACTGTTAAGTGAGAACAGAGCTAGCAAGGTAAGAGGACCAGTGAGTGCTGAACATGAGCCCTAGGAAGAGCCATGTCTTTGAGGAATATCACCAACATATAAGGAGGAAAGTATTTAAATATTGAGGGTGTGGGGCTCACAGAATTCAAGCCCTCTACTGGAATGTCCCCTTGGGCTGCTATATATGACTGGTGATGGTGGGATGACAGAAGGAAACCAGAGTCACCAGGATAGTGCCCCTCTTGAGGTCCCATCTTTAGAAGGCAGAAGGCAGGCATGCTAATGGGTATCTCCATCAGTCATGCACACTTTAGTATGAGTTATCTCAATGAGACACTTAGTTTATGTTTTACTTAAAAAGTAGCTGAGAGCCAGAGAAGAATGTTGGAGGTATGAGCCAGGGAGTAGAGATGGCAGGGTCACTGAGAAATCTTGAGACAAACAGATCTGAAAAGATGGGGTGAGAGACTCTCAGAAGGCTCCATGTATTCATGACTTCAGAAAATATTTGTGAAGCACCTACTGTGGGCTAGGTACCATCCTGATCCCTGAGAGTGGAGTGAGAAGGACTGAAACATCCCTGTCCTAAAAAATAAGTCCTGGTGTTTAGTGTCTTTAGAACCAAATGAAAGGAAGGTCATTTACCCATTCTGAAATTTTACAGCAACAAATAAAGGCAAATAGTTTTCTCCCTTGGGCACATTCTAGTATTTCCAGACACCAAGAAGAGATAGAACATGCCAATCCATTTCTCTGAAAGTCTGGCAAAGAGAGACCAGGTGACATCACTCTGGGGTCTACTTTAGAAACTGGAGGGTGTGTCTGTTTCCCACAGATGTACAGAGAGCGCCAAGTAGCTCCCAAGAACAGAACATTAACTTTTCAGGAGTTTTTCTTGAGCTGACCATGAAACATAACCATTATTACAAATGAAATTATGAGAACTTATAATTAACACTATTTTAAGAACCAAGGTCATAAATAGCAACTACTATTTCCTACTCATGTTGTACTATTTATTATCCAAGCCCTGGGTGGAGATTGCTGATTATTGATGTTACTTGTCTGCATCATGAAAACATTGTTTAATGATGTCCTACTCTAGTGTGCACCTTTTCCGACTCTGTCTTCAGCGACTTAAATGTGGTAGCTTGAGATTTACACCACAGGAATCAGGCAAACGCTACAAACTGGAGAGATGGTTGCTAAGCATGTATCAGGGCACCACTGTGTAAGACCAGCCCAGGTCTCAACTGCAGGGAGGAGCTTACCTTGGCGGAGAACTTGAGATGAACCTCTGCTTCATCTGCCAGACTCTTCTTCACCTGGGCCCAAGCTTCTCCCAAGGAGCTGCAATGGGTAGGACATTATTAGACTTGGGGGACCCCAGAAAGGGCTGTACCAACCTCAAGTCTGAAGCCTCGGCCCATCCTAAGATGATCTCAAGCTTACAACTTGGGAAGGTATACACCATTCTAAACTTTGGATCTGGAGGAGGCAGAGGCCAGGCACAAACTATCTAGAGGGCCAGATTGAACCAGCAAAACCAGGGTGAGCTAGCTTACAGTCCCCAATGTCTTGACATCACCATCATCCCCCCCCCACCCCTGGATTGCTAGTGAGGTGTACAAATGTCTGCTGGTAATTCAAGGAAGGTGGACAGATTCATTTTTAAGGAAAAATTCCTCTGGAATGGAAGGTACTATGAAAAATGCTTACAAGCAACTCTGTAGCTGCTTGGCTTCCAGGAGAGGCACAGATGGACCATTTGGGTCTAGGGACATGGTAGGTACAGCCACATGCGGAGAAGGCCACCCCACCCCCTGCCCGCACATGCTCAGGAGTGTGGCTCTCTGGCACAGCTTCTGGGTTATGTGCCCGACTGCTGCCCATAGCTTACAAGAGAATGGCCAAGTCCTCTTAGTGAAATCCCCTCTCCACTCCAGAGAGATGCTTCCAATAGATGAAATCTCCAGATCCCAGAGACTTTCAAAGGGATATGACAGCTTTCATTATCTGGAACTCCTCAACCTCACTGATCATTCCATATGATCCCCTGCCTCCTGACCTCTTCAACCCAGCCAGTAAATCCAGGCTGAAAGTTGAGTTGGCTTCATTTTATCAAAAAGCCACTTCCCCCAGAGAATTCATTCAACTTGAGTGGGAAAAGCTGATTAAAAGACAGCTCGCTGCGACACTTCTGGGTTCCCCGCCCAGCAGCCAAGCGGCAGCTAAGAATGACCCAACGGAGCAGAACGATCCCTCTGAGCCAGGGTCCAGAGTGGTGGGAGCACGCGCTCAGGTCGAGGGAGTTGTTTGTGGGAAATGTCACTGATTTTTATCTAAGAGTCTGAGCAGCAGAGAAAGGTCCCCTGGGGAGCCCCACAGAGCAGAACTGGAGTGAGTCTGAGACAATTCCAGCTGTGGACATTTGTCTTTGCCTGAGCTCCAGGAAGCTGGTCAAGGCCATAGGCGGTGGGGGGCGCGGCACCGTAGGTGGCCTAGGCATCCCATCTGATCCTATAGGTGGGCAGGAGGTCCAGGGCCAGGGAGGGGTAGAAGCCATTGTGTCCCCCAAAATGTGCAAGGCAAACTTAATCCCCATGTGACAGTGTTAGAGATGGGACCTTTGAGACGTTGATCAGGCCACAAGGGCTGTGCCCTCGTGAATGGATTCATACTGATGGACTTTCCCCCTGTCTTTCAGTGCTGAGGATGGAACCCATGGCCACGTGCTTGCTAGCCAAGTGCGCCACCACACGGAGCCACACCCCGAGCCCTTGGATGAACTGAACAGACGGTGCAGAGACAGCTGTATATCCACAGGGACAAAAGGAACCTTGACCCTTCCTTCATGCTATACACACGAATGATCTCAAGTCGGATTCTAGCTTTAAAGTGAAAGCCAAGGTGACACGTGGCTTACACAGGCTGTCCTAGGACCAGTGGGACCATGATTAAAGAGAGGTGAGTGGTTTTTGCCCCGAGTAGCTGATTGACACAGAGCAGCCAGTGAGAGGTACAAATGAGAACCACAGAAAGGCCCTGGGAGATGTCCAGAGTTTTTCCTATAGAGCTGAAATTTGCTGTCAGTAGAGTGCATGGTAAGGGACTGGCCAGGGACATGTATGGTGACCCGAGAATGTTAGCTGAGGGCTACTGGGAGAAAATGAACAAGCAAAGTCTCCACCCAGGACAATGGCCCCACCTCCAGACTAGGCACTTGCAAGTGGAAGGACATTACTCCAAACATTCAGATGAGCCCATCTGAGCCAATGCACCCCCCACGCAGGGCGACCCCTTCCTGGCACTCCTAGCCCCTCAGAGCCACTTCCAAGTGTGTGGAAATATCATCCTGAGCTCTGCTAACATGTACCTTTAATATGTCAATCAAAATTAAAATCATTAGAAATTTTAGAACAAAACCCACTCAGAAATTCTCTCATTTAAGAAAACAGATAGACGTCGTTCTGTCCCAAAATATGGTTTGAGGCACGCCAAATCAAAAATGCAATGTGATCCTGTCACAACTGTCAACCGGGAGAGACCCAAATCCCATTTCCTTTCTGCCCAGGAGAGGAAAACGGAAGGCAGAATACATTGAATTCTGTTTATTCACCAGCACGCACGTGTCCTCAGAAAGCCAATCTGAACACGGCGTTCGGGCGGCACAAGCCTCTCTAGCCCCAACCCCCCACAGCTTCCTAGACGGCACCCAATTTCTCAGCTTCGTTTTGCACTTGGAGGGTTTTCAAGGTGGGCTGGGTTCAACACCCAGATCTGTGTATAAATGCATAAAAACATTTTGCACACTGTCTGGAGGGGGTTCACATGTGCACACGTGTGCCTGCTGGGGGCAGTGTGTGCACGGGGTTACCAGGTGCAACAGTGACGGGGATGTGCACCCGTACAGGCGCATGGGCCAGTGCTTGTATGTGTGTGTTTGTCTCATGTGTGTGCAGCATGGCGGCGCAGACCTGGCATGTGGTTTAGGAGCATATGCTGGGTGTGCTGGCAGGACACAGTGTCCTTGGCAGCAGCCCAGGCCCGGGAGGTGGAAGCCGGAAGACTCCGAAGCAGCACAGTGGTTGCAGGGCACGGAGAGTCTTAGGAAAGTCCCTTTCCAGGCAGCAGGGGCTACATTGCCTGCATGGGAGTCCCCTTCAGCATGGAGCAGAGGGGCCAGGAAATAATGAACCCCACTTAGTCTGTGGGAGAGGCAGTGGTCTGCAAGGCCACCCTGTGGCGTGTGGCTGGCCGGGTTGGTGAAAACCATTCCCAGGAGGTGGTTTGGCTGTGCAGTCAGCCCATGCGGAGGCCTTAATCAAAGCCACATTGATTTGGCAAACTCTGTCCCCTTGCAGGATTTCAGGCCACGAAGGCAGACTTGGACTTGTTGAAGATCACAGCTCTCCCACAACCACAACCATCCCTCAACAGGATGGCTTCCTTCTGGGGGCTTCACTTCCCTTGTAGGAGGACTTCAGAGAGACTTGCGCAGGAAGGTCAGAACAGAGAGGGGACCTCTGGGGACCCCTTCAACTCTTACCTCCCGAGAGTCTTCATTATTATTATTTTTCATTGAGATAAAAATCATGGAACAAAAAATGAACCCACTTAATGTGAATAATCTGGTGTTTGGCATGTCCCCAATGTTGTGTGACCAATGACATTTTCATCACCAGTCACAGAGGAAGAATTTGGGCCCCGCCCCCCCCACACACTTGCTAAGCCCTAATTCCTGATGAGGCTGCTATTTGGGGACAGGGCCTTTAGGGAAGTAGTGAAGGGCTCTATGAGGCTAACGGGATGGGACTCCAGGAAACTCGGAAGGTCCCCCACCCGGCCCCAGCACACGCCAGGATGGGCTGTGTCTGTATCGAGAAGGTGACTGACTCAGAGAAAGCCCTTGCCTCACACCAGCCCTGCTGGCAACCTTGATCTTGAACTTCAGCCTCCAGAACCGTAACAAAATAAATGTCTGAAGTTTAAGCCACGTTCTGTGATATTTTGTTATAGCAGATTCATCAGACAAATTCCTTCCAATGGAGCAGTTTCTCCCGTGCCCCGCTCCCCACGTGCCATGGTAACCACTAATCTGCTTTCTGGCCATACGGATTTGTCTACTCTGGATGTTCCGTATAAATGGAATCGTATGCTCTAGGACCTCATGATGTGTCTGGCTCCCATCATTTAGCATAATGTTTTTGAGCTTCATCCACATAGTAGCACGTTTTAGAATTCTATTCCTTTTTATGGATGAATAATACTCCATTGGATATCCATGGCTAGGCATGGTGCATGCTATTTAACTAGTGGACTCATTCATCCCTTGCTGGACCCTGGGTTGTTTCTACCTTTTGGCCATTGTGAACAGTGCTTCTCCGTAAATGCCTGTTTGAATTTTCAATTCTTTCGGGTATAAACCTAGGATGGAATTGCCGGGGATGGAGTGATTCTATGCTTAGCTTTTTGAGGAACTGCCAGTCTGCTGTCCAGAGGGACTGTCATTTGGCATGTTGCCAGTGATGAACAAGAGCTCAGACTCTGTTTAACAGAGCAGAGAAGGCTGGGCTGAGCGTTGGTCCCACTCATGGAAGTTGGGAGGGTTGCAGAGGAAGCAAAGCCTGAGCCTCAGGTCCACAGGAGGGAGTTCCAAGGGGCGAGGCATCATGAAATCCTCTCATGCCCAGTTTCCTCCCACCCTGCCCTCAAAAGAAGGGGATCTGGAGGTGGGCATCTAAGGCTGTTGCCCAGCTACAGGGGAGAGGGCAGGGGGGATTCTGACATGCTCCAGCACCTGGCAGGAGGGCCCTGGCTCATTAGAGAGAAGACAACATAGACGTCCCCACACATAACATGGACATCCTTACTTTGAGTCACAGGTACACACCTTGGTTGGGCTCAGGATGCTCAATTTGAACTAAGAGCATCCTCCCTAAGCCACAGGTGGACACCTTGAACTATAAGCATCCACAATAAAACCTGAGCACCCACCTTGAGCTATTAGCACCCATCTTAAGCCATGGGTGCCTACTCTGAGTTAGGGTGCCCCATCTGAGCTACAGGTGCACACCTTCAGTCCTGAGGACATACCTTGAGCTATGAGCCACCAACTTGAGCACGGATCCCCCCTCGACCCAGGCTTATGGAGACCTTCCTTCCCCATCCAAAGCTCACTCACTGTTCCAGTGATGGGTGAGGAAGGCTCTTCAAGGTCCCCTCATCCTCCCCAGTCCCATCAATCTCCTCCCAACTCACCCTTCCTCCTGTGCAGCCAAGGAGTTCTGAGAGAGCTTAGCCAGGTTCTTTGCATATTCTTCTTCAATCTTTATCCTGCCAAAGGAGAAAACCCAATACATTAGCTCACCAGTGCGGGATGGCGGACCGGAGCTGCTCCTTGTCACACAGTAGCAGCTGTGTAAAGGGAACCACTGGGTCACGACAGACCGTAAGCTCTGACAGTGTGTGGCTCTCAATATTTATTGAATAAATGCATGAAACCGTTTGAACTTCTGTCTCTCTAACTGCACAGCGGGCATTTCCGCCTGCCTCCTGGGGTTTATGAAGATGAGCACTATCATTTGCACAGCTCTGGGCAAAATCCTGGATACACAGGTGCCCTTACCTGAATGAATGCTACTTACACAGACCCCAGGAGATGGATGGCCACAGGTGTCTCCTTCTGCCTTCAAGCCTGGACTCTGATTTTTAGACCCTCCCAGATGGCCTAAGCCTCTTTGAAGCAAGAATAGAGCATCTCTACCTTCTCCCACCCAATGCCTCTAATTGCAAAGCACTGTCAAGGGCATGAGTATTTCCATGGAAACCGGTCAATGTCCAGGGCCGCAGCCCGATTCTGCTCCCCTGGGGAGGAGAGCTGCCTTGCGCAGGGCTTCCAGCAGGTAGGCCCTTCACACACTTGCAAGGTGACTCTCTGGGGAGTGTTCTGTGTATCGGGCATGTCTGTGTTAAGTGTGTTGTCAAAGGCGTTGCTCACCACCTCAGCGCTCCCTGGGACCATCGTGGGAGGCAGAAGAGCTATGTTATGACAACCGGAGCTGGCCAGAGGGATGGGACCCTAGAGAGCCCCTGGGTAGTCATGCGGTACACAGAAAACCTAAAGGGCTGTAGTGTTTTATTTCTGGATCACTTGGGTGCAGAGAAGGTGGCTGACCATGCAGCAGCAGCATTTTGCATAATAATGGTCACACAGTTTGGCACAGGGACTCATCCTCTTGTTCCTTCTTGCTCTGCTTGGATCTCATCTATACCTCTAGCCAGTCTCTTGGTCTCCCAGAGCTGAACCCTGGTTTCTCTCTCAATTCTGTTGCTCCCTCTCCAGCCCTCCCAGGATTACACAGACTGCCAGCCTGGACCTCCAGACTGTGGCCAAGGCCTCTTGAAAGCAGATCCAAGCATGTCACAGTGCCAAGGACAGGCCAGGGCAGAGAAGGTGCACCTGCCATCTGTCTCCTGAGCCTCACCTCCCAAACCAGCCTGCATCACCTCCATCTCCTGTCCTGCTTTCTTTAGTGGAAGCCACAGCAAACCAGGGACCTGGTCCCTAGCCAGGCATACTCCACCTCTGCACCTAAGCTCTGGCCTCTCCTGGCTCTGAAAGGTACATCCTTTGTAGCCCCCCACAAGATGGACTGAGAAAGTTAGAGGAATCTGCATTTCAGCTAGGAAGGCCAGAATGACCTGCAACGGTAGAGCTCATTACACTGTTATGAGCATAAACCACGAGCCCGTTCAGACTTTGGCTTAGACATCCCTTTTCTATTTGCCTGTTTTTATATTTTTGTTTTCTCCCTCCTGAGCAATGCAGCCTTCCAATTTCCTACCAGTTTAATGGGTCATAAAATAAAGATTTGATTATACAAATAGAAAATGGGCCTCCTAAGGAGAAGGGTGCTTTAAAAATGCCAAAGCATTATTACCTGATTACGGTTGTTATAATAAAAGAAATATTTTTAAAATATATCGCCATTTGCAATGAATATTTCCAATATGCCTTGGAAATGCTATTTGCAAAATTGTGCCTATGTGTGCGCACACCCGTGTGAATGGTGGGTACGAGGAAGTGTGCGGATATGTGAGCGTGTGTTATCAGACTCTCAAGAGAGGAGCAAGGGGAAGGAGAAGGAACTTCTCTTTTGTTTTGCAGCTTTCCTTATTTCTATTGGATTGAATTTGTTATTTCTTCATCAATGTTCCCAAGTTCTTTAGACAAACTACTGGTATCTTCCCCTGAAGGCAGAGGAAGGTTCTACATTCCTTAGCCTGATCAGTTTTGGTTTGAAGATGAATCGAAAGGTAATACTCCTCTTTTGGATGAGTATGTTCCTATGGTGAGGAACAGTGCTTCAAAGGAGGACCAGATAAAGGGGTGAAACAGTCTGTGGGGGAGACTGCAGCAAAATGGGAACACATGCCCATTCCACAGGGCACTGCTGCTGACCTCCAGGCAATTACTGCCTGAGGGGTGAAGAGGCAATCCCATCAACCCAGTGCTTTTTCAAGAGATGCTAGGTATCCAGATTTTAATGTAAAATCTACCAGTATTTTTTAAATGTTGGTTCAAATTTTCAGAAACACTACACAGACCAAAGCCACACATCTGCTGATCAGATCTACCCCAGAAGCCATGCATCTGGGACCCCAACCTATGTTCTCCTTCATGCCAACCAGCCCCAAACTGGTCATGCAGTGCTGAGTACTCTTTGACTCCCCTCAGGCCACTGGTTCACGGTGGGACCCATCTCCAGTCCCTGCAACTGGGTGGGAGATCCAGGGTCTTTACCTCTCTCGGACAAATTCAGACATTTCTTTCTGCATTTGTTTGCCCTTCAGTTGCTTTTGGAGCAGCAGTTCGAACCCAGCCACCGTGCCATTGCCTTGGGGATCCTTCTTATCAGCCTGGGAAGGAAAAAAGAAGCACAAGAAGCATTCAGGTGACATCGGGTGCCCAGGAGAATGGCGTTCAGGGAAGACAGATCCCAGAAAGCACCCACCAATTTGCCTGGCAGTGCTGACCCCAGCACAGTGCCGAGCACCTAGTAATGACTCAATTAATGGTCTCGATTATTAGTTGCTCTAAAATAAAAGTCAGAACCTGAGAGAGCCGAGACAATGACTTGGGAACTAAGACCCAATTAATTTTTGTAAACAAATATTCTTAAAACTTCAAAATGAAATGATCTGTTTTATCTGCACTCCCTCAGCCACCTGGCATCTCTTTTTACTTCTTCCCTGCTCATCATGCATCCTGTCATCTGTCCACAAGAACCAACTACAGAGACATTCGAGGCCCCTGGCTGTCACCAGGATTAAAAAGGTGTCCTCCAGGGGCTGTGGATGTGGCTCAAGTGGTAGCGCACTCGCCTGGCATGAGTGCGGCCCGGGTTCGATCCTCAACACCACATACAAACAAAGATGTCGTGTCCACCGAAAACTAAAAAATAAATATTAAAAATTCTCTCTCTCTCTTAAAAAAAAAAAGGTGTCCTCCTGCATTACAGATTTTCTTTACCAGGAATCTAAGGTTAAATGCTTTGATTCTTAATGGAAGGAATTAAAATGGGTTTTGATATCACAGAGAGGCACACTGTGATATCAAAATTGTCCCCAGCATCTAGAAAGACCCAGGTACTCATCTCTGCTCTCCCACAAGATGAAAAGGTCAGGTTCATCCAATCCTAGGCTGTGTCCCTCTCCTCCACCATATCCCTGGCGATCGGAGAAGCCTGCATCTCTAGGATCTCTTTCAGATCACACATTTAGGACAGAGGACAGGAAAGACACTGCTGTGCTTGTAGAGAACCCCATTTACAATGGTCAGGCACATGAACGACTTTACGGAGCCTCTGGTCCTGCCCAATTCAAGATCCCTTCCTCGGCCTCCCTGACCCAAGTCCCTCTGGCTATGCTGTTGAGACCTCTCATGACAGGACATCAATCACACCCTACGGGATGAGTCATGTCAGAGGGGGGCTTCTCTTGCTGCTTACAAGTTTCTCCACTGGAGATATGTGTACTTCACTCTTGACGAAAAAGCAAAGAAAAAATTAAGCAAAATTCTGAGCCCAAATCTGCCTCCCTTCTAAGACTCATCTGCTGCTCCAGGGAAAACCAGCCAGAGAAATAGCTTTAATGACTACTGTTAGCAGAGAGACATTTCCTCCTCCTTCCCCTTTTTTTGAGGTACTGGGGATGGAACCCCTAGGTGCTCTACCTCTGAGCTGCATCCCCAGCCCTATTTAATTTTGAGACAGGGCCAGGCTGGCCTTGAACTTGTGATCCTCCTGCCTCAGTCTTCAGAGTCACTGGGATTACAGGCATGCACCAGATGCCATCCTAAGAGAAATTTCTATTCAAGAGGAAAATATCTTGATGGTCAGGAAAGAGAACCCCCAGAGTAAGCATCAGAGTCCCCAGAGAGCAGAAATTAAGCCGAGTACCCAGAGTGTCACACTCTCAGATGCTGCTGACCAGCAGGCAGGATCACACACTCCCTCCAGCTCCTGAAGCTCCCTAAATCCCCCAACACTGAGCTCCAGGCTAGGCTCCCCAGTACCCATTCCCAGGGCTCAAACCCTTCTCCCTCAAGTGGTCTCTTTTAGGGGTGAGCTTTGCAAGTGTGGCTATGTCTCTCCATCTCTGCCACTGCTACCAACCTTCCCAGTCATCTCCACTCACCTCTTAACTTCACTCCTGCCTGCACGATGCATATAAACTAGATCACAGTGTACCTCTCTGCTTAGAACCCTCCAGCAACTCCCTACTGCAAACAGCAAAAAAACCCATCACCCTTACAGGGGCCTATAAAGTCTTACACACCGATCCCTGCTCCCCCCACTTCTGAGTTCATCTCCTCACATCTGTCTGATGCCAAAGCCTGATCCCATTTCATATCGTTTTAACCTCTGCACATCTCTCTGCTCTTGAAGCCACACAGCTGCAGCGATAGGAACTTTCCCTACTGGTGGTCAATAGGAATCTTTGGATAGCTTCTGAGTATGAATGATTTGGAAGAAAATTTTTAAAAAGAACTTTTGTCTAGTACTCAGCAAATCTAAAAAAAAAAAGGATAGATAATCCATTTTGCACAGTGGTGAAAAAGGAAAGGATTTTATTCATTTACTTTTCCTCGGGGTCTTTGCAAAAGTTCTCTTTGGAGATGTACAATTCAGTCGTTTTCAATATAACCGCAAGGTGGAACAACCATCACCACTCTCTGATTCCACATCAAGGCAATCTACTTCTGAAAATCATTGCTGACTTTAAAAAATGTGAATATCTGGGATTGCCCTCAAGAGTTCCTGAGGTGTAGGACTCTGCATGTATTTCCTAAATGTTTTATTTATTTTAATTGTGTCAAAATACAGATAATATTCAACTTCTCATTTTCACCATTTTTTTTTGGTGTGTGTGTGTGTTCAGTGGCACTGAGCACAGTCACAGTGTCATGCATCTGTCTCCACCACCCACCCATAGAACTGTTTCATCCTGCAAGACTGAAACTCTGTCCATCAAGCAATATGCAAAACTTCTACAAGCCCAGAATGTTTAAAGCTGGGGCTCTCGGAACATCCTTGAACCCATCCCTGTTTTGTTGGAAATGGTACTTGTTCAAGGTCATTGACATCAGGTCTGGAGCCCAGATTTGTCTACTGAAGCTAACTCTATAGCTGGGCATCAAATCCAGGGCCTCAGGTGTGCTAAGAAAGCGCTCTACCTGAGTTAAATTCCCAACCCTTTTCTGCCTTTGCTGAACATCAAAGAAAATGACCCTTCAGGTCATGGGCATTCTGGTGGGGGTTTCCATGTCGCCATGAACAGAAAACCCCGCTGATCCTCTCAGACTGATCTAGACTCCAGAGCTCTCCCAGGTGTGCACTCTTGATCATGGGGGCCACAGTGAAGGTTGGGGGTGACACGGAGGCAGCACATACCCAGAAGTAGTCACAGTAGCTCCACTCGGTTGGCTTTAACAGTTGCTGTTCAGGCATGGTGTCTGGGTGAGGGAATGTCACGCAATTTATCTGTAGGGTACAGAATAAAAAGAAAATGACTTCACATTAGAGGGTGGGAAAACGGGAAAGATCTTGCTCCCTGGACAGAGCACACTACAGAGGTCTCCCTTGGGTCCAGGTTGATGAACCATGCATAGGTATCTTCAGATGTTCCAGTGCTGGTAAGCATTCAGGCAAAGCTCAGGGGTGGGAAATCAGGGCAAACTCTTTGGAGGGCAGTTTAATAGGATCTATCACATGGCAAATATCTAGATCCTTCCACCTAGCAATTGCACTTTTAGGAGTCTGTGCTACAGATACGTTCATTCCAGTGTGCTGAGACATACGAACATGGTTTTTGTTACAATGCTCTTTATGGTAGCAAAAGGCCATGTCACAACCCCATCGTCCATCCGTAGGGGAACAGGTATTGTATCCATGGCAAAGGATACAGTGATAACATTCTTATACATTGATAAGGGAAGTGACTGGGACATACTATTATGTGGGAGGAAAAAAAGCAAGGTATAGAATAGTATTCTGTTTGTATTAAAAAAAAAAAAAAAAAGGAGGATAGAAGCACATTTGGCTATTGGTATAGAATACTTTTGCCAAGTGATGAGACAATTTGCTCCTAAGGAAAGAATGGTGTGGGTGAGGGTCAGAGGTGAGAGGTTATTTCAAGATACATATGACATGAACAACGATAGTATAAAATTATAATCCAGGAACCCACTGGACTCTGCCCCTTGCCAAGGGAAGTACAGGATGCACAAATTGTCTCAGACTTTTTTTCTGCCCAGGCACGTTGGGGGTTGGTACTTGGCTGTCCCTGTTTTGTTCCTGCTGATGTGACTTCAAATCCTGCATCCTCTTTTTCCTATTGGAGATGGTTAATTGGTTTTCTCTGGGAGAACGAGCCCTGAGTCCTATCAAGTCTTAGGCCCTTTGTTGGCAGCCTAAATAACCTGCAAGGAGAGACTCTGGAGGTTAAAGGGAACAGCTGTGCAGAAAACCCAAGGTTTGGGGCACAGTAATGCAAACGCGGATGCTAACCATTGAGGTGACCGCTGCTATAAACTTCAGCTTGGAAGGGAGGGGAAGAAGCTCCTGCCTTGAGCCAGGGCCAGGGTCCATGGAGATGCCTCTGAGGGGCAGATTCACAAGCAAGAGGAGGAGTCCAGTATCACCAAATGATGTGAGGGCTCAAAAGAGAAGCTGGAATTCATGGTTTCTATGTGAATTGCCTCAATGGCTAAGTTTTGGCCCTTCCTTTAAAGCTTATTAACAATAAAAAAAAACAACACTGTGTAAGCCCCTCAAACTCCTCTGTCAGCTGAATCTGGCCCAGGCATGGCCAGGTGTGACCTCTGGTTCCAGGCCACTGAGGTCAATCTAGCTCCTTCCTACCCTAGCAGTCAGGAACCCAGGTCTCACCTGCTGTCCTATGAGAAGAGCTGAGAAGTCCTACCCAAAGGGACGAGCCCCCTTCTGGATACTGACATCTGGTGAGATAAAGTAGGGGTTTCCATTCTGAGAGACAGTAGGATCAGTGGCAGGAAAGACCCAGAGAACTCTGGAGACGGGCGGCACTGCATTCTACCAAGGTCAAGATCCAGATGGGTCCTAAAGATTCCGGAGTTGGGGAGTGTTTTCCAAATGCTGAGCATGCAAGGTGGCCCTGGCCAGTAGTGGCCTGTTGGTTAGCCTCTCATGCTCAGCCTCTGGAGAGGTTCTCCCCACAAACACATTGCTACCCCTTACCCTCTTCCTTCCTCTTTTCTTACCCAAACTGCTCTTGGCCAGAGCCTCTCCTTGGGGAAATACTCCCTACAAAGGAAGATTTTACCATGAGAGGCAACTTCACCAGAGGTCGGTCAGAACAGGAAGGGGAAATGGGTCTTGCTCAGCCTTCTCCAGATGACCCACCCTCAGAGAAAGAATGCTATTGCCCACCCCAGGATGCCCATGAGGACAGATCCCATTAATCCAAAAGGGGTGGTGATGAATCAGGAACAGCTCCTTCTATGACAAATCCCAGGTGACTCCAAGCTCAGCCATCTGAAAGGCTTCTGAAGGTCTCCAGGAGGGCTGGGACCCTTCCTAAGTTCCACACAGTTCCTTTTTTGTCTTAGAACTAAGGGGGAGTATGGTTTGGAGTCACCTAGATGATTTGTTAAAACACAAAGATGGACGAGTCCCAGAGCCCCGCTCTTAAAATCCTATATGGTTTCTTACCATCTTCTCTGTGGGGTCAACTTTATTTTCAAGATTAAATATTTTGT